CCTTCCTTTCTTTTTCTCTTTTTTCTCTTTCAGATTAATTTTTTTCGCATTCCATTTATTACCTCTATTTTTTAGACGTATAGACACTCTTTCAGTTCTTTTAGAGATTACCTTAGAAATTTTAATATGCATGCTTATCTTACTAATTCTGAAGTTAGTCTGTCTTTACCCTCTTCCTGAACAATGCCAGTTCTTTAAAACATAATCTTCTGATTTTGCTTCTACGTCACTATAGCTGCTCCTTTCCTGTCTCCCTCCTCTACCTAATCTCTGAATGTTTGAATGACTTGAGGCCTAGCACTGGTCCTCTTCTCACTCTATGACTTCCTAGATGCTCTTACTCATTCTAACCAGACTTTAAATACCACCTACTAGCTGGTGATACTGAATTGATCCCTTCTATGAAACCCATATATATTTAGGCTTATATATTAAACTGCTTACTTGCTATCTCAACTTGGATGCCTTAACATATCCACACTTAACATATCCAAATTTAACATATCCAAACCAACCATAACTGAACCCTTGAGTCTACTAATTGTCCCTCCACACTTCATCTCAGTGGCACCATTGTCTACCTAGATTTTCAATCCAGAAGCTTGGGGAAAATCCTTGATTTCTCCTTTTCCCATAACCCACCACATTCAATTCTTCAACAAGTGTTGACAATATCTTTTTCTCAAACCCTTTTTCTTTAGTGTAGAAAGCCAAATTTCTGTGGAGTTAAAAATCGAACGGAAGCATGTAGAATATGGTCAGTCTTTCTTAGTTGTGTAGAAAGTGACAGTGAAATTAAGGGCTAGTAAATGTAGGTAAGCAAGCAGACTGAAATATAATCAAGATTTCAAATAAATGGAGGAGGATTCACAGAAAATATAGTTATAATTGTGAGTGATAATAATTTAGAAAAATTAAGAAAAAATAAGTTTTTGTTATGTAAATTGGGGTGGATGACACAGCATAGTAGCAAACAGTATCAAGAGAGTGTGTTAGAATACAGAATGAGCGTGAAGGTAGTATTGCCATTAGCCAAAAAAGAGGCTTGATAGCTAAAACTCATTTGGGATTACAAAGGACATACTTGGGATGCAGAGAACCTTCATTAACAGGAGCACCTAGGCATGAGAAATAATTGAGAGTATTAGAATTGGAAGATGCTAAATGTGGATGTTAAATGATAAATGCCAAAGAGAGAAAATAGCATGGAAAAGCTATTATAAGCTAGTGTTGGTTAAAACTCAAAGCAGGTGAGTATAGTTTAGATTATAAAACCATTTTATGGTCACAAATGTTCTCCATAATGCAAAGCTAATAGTTACAAAGTGATGCAGGTGTTCCTAGAAATGAGAGATCTTTGCTCTTAACAAATTACATTTAACAAATAGGTTAATGGGTTGTAAAAAAAAAATGTGTGTATTCATACACACAGACATACACACACACACGCAAAGGAGGAGAGGCTCTTAAAATGGTAAAAGAGTTTTTTATATCATTTCAAGTTGTATAGATTTTAGTGGGTCGAACAGAGTCTGTGTTAAGCTGGGAGGAAAAAAAGAGGCTTTTCGAAATAATGTAGAGTACATGGGACTGTAGAGTACACACAAACTAAGAATACAAAGTACATTTTCTAGATTGAGAATAAGCGTAGGTATAAGGCAAGAGAAGAGATAGATTTAGACAATTCTGTACAGTAAGGAATGTCAATGCTTAGAATCCTGTGTAGCTCCTGTATAATGCGGGTGTTGGAGAAACAAAAAAGGCCTGGCACACCATGTCAACTGGTTGCACTGCTTTCACTGAGTGAATTTTGGTAGAAGACGCAGTCTCCAAAGGGTTTTTAATATGCTTGTTCTGATGCACTTAGTCTGTGCTAATTTAAAAAGGTGAGAATCCAGTGAAACTTGGTGGTTTTAAAACCTCAAAATGTATTGATTTTAGCTGTTGAATTATATAAAATACAAAGGAACTTTCAGTATGGAGAGCTGAGCAGTATGTCTAGTTTGATTGTTGCTAGATGTGACCTCTTATTACAAAGACCAACATATACATATTACAACTAGCATTGGTTCCAAGTAGTGCTTTGAATCCTTTTTTTTTTTTCTGAAAGTGAGCAGATTTGGGAGCAAGTATTTTAATTTTATATATAAGCATTCAGAAAAAAATTAACAGGAATATGACATTTTGATTATTGAAAAAGATAGTGGAGTATATCAATTTCAAAGAGAATTACCATTTCAAATTGATTTATAATTGAAAAAGGTAATATTTAAAGAACTGTGCAACTCAGAGACTATTTTGTTTTAACACATTGTTTAAAAGAAATGAACAGTGAAACTTACTTTGAAAGTTGTATTCAGATATTCTTTATAGTAAAATATAGAATTTGTCTTCTGTTTGTTGTAGGTATTGTGTATTTCATTATAAAGAAAACAATTACAAACTGAATTTCCAACAATTTTCTAAGATTCATGTTTTTTATTCTTCCTCAAAAATACCTTAAAGCAATAAAAGTTAATAAAAAATTAGTTTCTGCAAAAATAAGTGATATATGGGCTGTGACACAGATAATATACCACTTATTTAATTGAATATTTAATTAATAACCATTATCAATATTTCAGTTTGTCCTGAAAACTGGCCTATTGAGAGTACCTTATCTTTTTTCTAAGAAAGCATTCTGTTGATGTATCTATAATTTTTGCTACTTTGTGAAGAAAAATTGATTTAAAATATTTTGTCATTTGAAAATACCAAGAAAATTTGGTCACGAAATTACATTTAAAACATTAAATTGCATAAGAGTCTTCCTTCTTTTCCTTCTTTTTCATAAGATGCATTGCCATTTGCTCCCTCGGAGTCTGGATATGTGAAGAACTTGCACAGTGTACAACCCATCCTCAGCTGAAAGAGGCCATCAATGTGATAGGTGTCACTTTGAAGGTATTACCAATTCATGATGTACATTGGACGTTAAGCTATATTTTAGGTTTTCAACCAGTTTTCATTTGCATTAGCCCTATCTTTATTTTCCCTTACATTACCAAGAGGTTTTGATTCAGAAATTCTTTTTCTGAGAGCCATGTTGAGTGTTCTGTGAAGTTCCCAGAGAGGCCACCAAGGGCTGCTTCCCCACTGGCAGCTGCACCCTGGGCATCCAGAGCCTGAGCATTCCTGGACCAAGCCCACTGGCCAAAGTTTGTTCCTCTGTTGGCTGGGCAGCTCCTGTAGCAAGCAGGACACCTGTCACCTGTTGTAAGAGTGACCAAAAAATGGGATTTCATGCCCTGGTCTCTTCAGCAAGACTGGGAGAGACTTGACAGCCCCGGTTAGTGGCCCTGAGTGCTCACTGTCCAGCTGGACCTTGGGCACATTTAGGATATCTTTCTTCCTTTGCTTTATTGATGAGAAAAGGAGCTACCCTTTACTGGGCACTCACACTGGGCCAGATTTATGGCAAAATCTCTAAATACTTTTGTTTACCTTCACAACAGCTCTACAAAGTCGATGTTACAATCTCTATGTCATGCCAGAGGAAAGCAAGGCCCAGAGAAATCAGGTCGGGAGCCCACAGGCATTCAGGCATAAGTGATGGAACCAGCACTGAGAGCAGATCTGTGTGACATTAAAGACCATTAAAGACAAAACTCAGCTTTTCTATGTGTTGTTAGGCCACTTCCTAAACCAGATCTCAAATCCTGCTGGGTCCTTTCCTGGCTCCTGCATAGACATGGTGGTAATAATTAGTGTTGCTGTTAGTATACCTCCAGAACCAGTGAGTGCATGGCCCCTGCTAGGCACTGTGCTGAGGGTTTGTGGAAGTTCTCAGGTGTGAGGTAATTGTCGCATTTTACAGTGGAGGAGCAGAGGTGTAGGAGAGTTAAGGAGCTTTTTCCGGTCTCTAGAGCGACAGCCTGGTGGAACCAAAGTTCAAATCCTAAACTGTCCATCTGACACCAATGTCCAGGCTCTTGCCTCCTCTTTTCTGCTCCCTGCCACATGCTGCTATAATAGTAACAGCAGTTGTAGCTGACGCTGCTTGGGACAGTTATCACCAGGCCATCGATTGCCCCTGTGCCACCTTTCGTGTTTTAGCCCATAGAATAACCAGCCAGGAGTGTCCCCTGCCCGTGGCTCAGCATCTGGCCCCCTGGTCTGGCCCCTGCCTTCCTTTGCAGCCTGATTTCATGGCAGCCCTCCTCACCCACACCTCTTCCCGGCCAAACTCGAAGCCTTCTGTTCCCTAAATGTGCCCTTGGACCACCCCACACTGTCACCCCGCCCTCCCCTTCTCTCCTCCACAACATTTGGGGTTGCTGATTATATCATAAGAACTAGAAAAACACTTGCTTCTAATCCCTATGGAGAGGAATGGAAAATTGATCAAACCAAGATATCACTTAAGAGTGCTCCTTCTGGCCTGAGCAGGGTGCTAACCCCTGACCTTTGCCATTGTGTTTAATCCTTAGAACTACCCTGTGAAGTGAAGGGTTATCGCCACCTCTACTTCACAGATGAGGAAAATGAGCATATTGGGAATGAAGGAGCTTGCCAGGGTCAAACCCAGGACGCTCCGGACCATGTCTGGGCTTTTGCACAACTGTGGTGTGCAAGACACGCCCCCTGACTTCCAAAGCCATGGAGACATATTCTCATAAGTATGGTGAAAAAGTTGGGTATCAATTGTATATGTAGATTCCAAGTCATTTTTTTTTTCTTAAGATTTTATTGGGGAATTGGGGGAGGGAAACAGCGTTGGGGAATCAGGGAAGGGGAACAGACAGGTAGACAAATTGCTGTGTTGTTCTTCAGTCTAGTTGTGGAGGACGTTGCTTCACTGGCCCATGTTGGTATGATCATTGTGTTCTTCCCGGGTGAGGCAACTGGTTGCTGGTCATTGGTCGGCTGCTCACTGCGGCTCACAGCAGCTCTTGCCGGCTGCCGGCCACTTACGCTGGATGCCAGCCACTCATGTAGCTCATGGCAACCCACTGCAGCCCTGCTGCAGCTTACGCCGTCGCCGGCGACTCACGGCAGCCCAGCTCCAGGTCGAGCTGTTGTTCACCATCTTAGCTGTAGAGGGCGCAGCGTCACTGGCCCTCATGTGGGATCTGAAATGCAGCCTTGCTGCTCAGAGCTGGCGCTCCCAAGCGAGCTCTTAACCAACTGAGCCACTTGGCCGGCCCCCAAGACATTTTTTAATATCTTATTTTTTCAATTTTAAAATGTTTTTCAAATTTTAATTTTTCTTAAATCTAGCAATGTATATTTAATGTAATGTGGTTCCCCCACCCATACCTGTTTCCTAGGAAAGCTGTTAATAATTGGATGATACCTTAGAATGAATGAGATGTACAGATATGCATGTCTGTATATTTAGCCTTCTACCCTATATGGTTCTGTGTAGTATAGAAGAGAGATGGAAATTTATAACAAGAGGAGATGAGGGCTTATACTTTTTCTTTGTACTCTACAAATTTTCAAATTATTGTATAATTTTTCTATAATTATGAGGAAAAACATAAGGCAACAGAAAAAAATGTACCTGCCATATAATGAGCCCTTATTCTGTCAGGAGTGTCTCAGCACAGTGAGAGGAGGCCTGACTTGAGCCCCTGCCTCAGCCCCACCTGCTGCTGCTTCTCTTACCCCATCTCAGGTGACACCATTGAGTTTCTCCCCTCCTTACCCCACTACCATTTCCAGTTATAGAGTCCTGAGTGTCCTTCACTCCGTCCCACCTGCTGCCCTGGGGCCATCCCTCACACAGCTGTCTCCTTCTGCCAGTATCTGAGCATCCTGCACCCCCCTGGCCCTAGTCTGTGCCCTGCAGATCTGCCCTCCATCCTGCTGCCGAAGAGATCAGTCTACACACAGGCCTGACCACGTGACCCACAGACTAGAGCATTGGGCATGGCCTTTGGGGACATAGGGAAATCAGTCCCTGCCAGCTCCATGACCCCGTCAGTTCCTTCAGAGAAGCTGTACCTCCCCTGTTCACTTTGTCCCCTATGCTTTTAATTCAGCACTGGCATGTTGTCAGTACTCCATGAATATGTAGTGGATGACGGAGTGAGGGAGTGAGTATGATTTATTTCATCTCTACCATTCCACACAGCACTCTATGTATCAGTAGTACCACCCCGCTTGCAGCCCTCAATGCCTGTGCTCTTGTCCACGGCCGTGAAAGAAACTCTCCCTCTGCGTTCTTCCAGGCTCAGCTCATCTCTCCCCGCCGCACCATGCCTTCCCTGCCCCGCTGTCTCACGCCTCATCCCTCTCTGTCCATAGCCCTCTGTCTTATCTGCTGTAGCTCTCATTCCATCACTGTCTCCTTGTCTGTTTTCAGTTTCTAGAACCGAGGCTAGCCATGCCATCCTTGTTTCTACTCCATGACTTGACCACTGTGATGCAGCAGAAACACACGCAGTGTCTACTCATATTCTTCCACTCCCTCCATGTTCCATCTTCACCTCAAACACACCATGCATTTCGCCTCAGGGGACAATGCTAGGCATTAGAATTACGATGATGAAAAAGATGCAGGAAAATAAATGAAAAAGAACAGGCAAACATAAAGGATCATCTCTGGCAGCCCTTAATGACATAAAGAAACTGTAATGGGAACAGGATGAAACTGAAGAGCTGGAGGGGGTGGGCTGCCACTTCTTTGGATGGGTATGGTGGCCTCACCAAGGAGATGACTTTTAGTGCCATGATCTAAAAGCTGTGGCAGCATAAGCCAAATGCAGACCTGGAGAGTGCAGACCAGGCAAACAAGGAGCACATGTAAAGATCCTGGGGCAGAAACAAGCCAGAGTGAAGGATGAAAAGAGATGAGAATCAAGTCATCTGAGGCCCAAATAGCCAGACGAGGCTTTGAAGAGCCTCTTGAGTACAGATGCCATCGCCCTGGGTTCACCTTACACTGGCCAGGAAGTGGATAGTCAGCAACTACTGATTCTGTAGAAGTAAAATTAATCACCTGTCTTTTACCTTCTTCCTTATCCTCTGCATTAGTCACTGAGGTGCTAAATGTTAGCTTTTCTGTGTTTGTGTGGTACCCAGGTCAACTGGTATCTGCTTCATGTGACTTAGAGCTCCTGATATGGAAATAACTAAGCTACATATCCAGAGGTTTTCCCTGACAGGGACACAGAGTCAGTGACAAACTTTTCTGCTGTAGGCAGTGAGGTGTGGATAGCAGTGTAGCCCAGGTCCTGGCCAGGGAGAGAAGCACAAGGTGCCCTCTTCCTTTCATGCACCCTCGGCCATTAGTCCTTGCAGGCACTACCCCTTTAATATGCAAGCTCACAGTGAAGAAATGGAAATAGCCAGAAGACCTTGGACACGCGCAGACTCAGCATATTCAGAGTAATTGATTGTACCATAATTTGTGCATCATGTTCTCATAGTCACAGACTTTTCACTGTTCTTACATTATACATGTTGCTTAAGTTTAATTTCATAGGAAAGAAAGTCATTTGATCAATCCCTGCTTTTCTGTGTGTAAGATTCAGCTAACATCTACCTTACAGAGCTGTTAGTGAAGATTTTTCAATGCTAAAATGAGCAAAAGTCTTGTAAAAGGTTCAGGACACAGGGGATACTCAATAATGCACTGCATTTTAATTTAATACTTAAAACTATGATTTGGGTTATCTTAATAAGGCGTTTGAAATTATGGTTTTAATTTCCAAATGATTAAATGATAGCTACTTGTTTCTATAGAATGTTACGTAAATTAATGCAGCTAGTCTAAACAAGAGGCAGTTATAGAATGGTGATCATGTATAAGCTATTTGATAATAGGACACATTTTTCACAAATTTAATGCAAAATAAGGAAATGATCTCCAAATGGAGCTGGAAAAAAAATACTTGTTTTGTTCTTCCTTAGGAATGATGCACATGTTAGTTATTTAGTTTGGGGGTGTTTTCCTTTCATAGTTTCCTAACAAAGTCGTGGCTCAGGCAGCGTGTGACGTTCTTCAGCTGCTGGTTTCCTACTGGGAGAAGCTTCAGATGTTTGAAACCTCTCTGCCTCTGAAAATTGCAGAAGTAAGTCTTTTTTCTGGAATGCTAAAATATAAGCATTTCCTTTTCATTGTATTTCATATTTAATTAATTATAGATACTCAAATAATTGTTAGAGAGCCGACTATTAAATTGCCAAGTGAGTCACTTTTTTTAAGATTGATTTACACTGTTCTTCTCAGCTGTGATTTCAGGCACTATGTAAAGAAGCCACCTCTGTTCCAGGGCAGAGTATTACACGTGGGGAGTTTGAAAGGCTGACAGGACCATAACAAAGAGACTTTCTGTAGATCGGGCTTCATTCATCCAGAGTAATTTGTATGGTGCCAACAAGGAGTAGGCAGCTGGTTATGATGCCCTCTGTGTGTGTGGGGCGGGGGAGGAGGGAAGCTGTTGTGTAAAATAGGAATCTCTTCCAGACTGAAGCCCATGCTTTCTGCCATAGCATGATTACCCAGCTGTAATGAGATTACTGCTATAATACCCTCTGTGAAGGTAATTTCATGGAGCAGAGGGACAGAAGTAACAGGGAGAATCATCTCAGTGATAATACCCTGGAGGTAGGTTACATTTGGGGGTGCTTGCTTACACAGGAGCAGGTACCCTCACCTCCATAGGTGCCTGATGGTGAAGCACATCCATTTCTGCCAGTTTTTATAGCTGTACTTTTTAAAACATGCCCTGTTCTTTGCACATCACTGGTAACTCTTCAAGGAAATTTAGTTTGTCTCCATGTGGTATTACAGGGAGAGAGTGATATTGCTTTATTTTCTCTCAGCCCTAGATAAATTTCACCAGTGAGATCACTTTGTTCTTTCAGAGATTCATGAAAACTCACAAATAATTTTCAACATTAAGTGACCTAGAGTGAAATAGAGTTTTGGACATAGGAATATAAGATGCTATAAAATGTAAAGTTGGGTTTTAGGGCAACCATGTAATTTATCATCTAAACAGAAATACCTTTGAGAATGAAAGAGGTGCTATTAAACCAGGACAACAGGTATAGACTTGGAGTAATTTATCAGAAAATTAAGTGGGAGCATTTTCATTTTTATTTTTGAAAGTATTTTTTTTGCTTTCGTCGTGAAAATTGAGACTGAAGTTGGAAATTATATGACTACAGAGAGAAATATTCCTTTCTCTGGGGTCCCCAGTTTCGCCACCAACAGAGTAGAGTGGAAATCGGACATAGCCCCAATTGTCTTCTCCTGATTTTCAAAGTAACACATGTCTCTAAACTGGCTTTTTGCATTTTATCACCTTATTCTAGTGAGTTGGCACCAACCTGGGTTTAGTTGCAAGGCTTTCTTGGGACTCATCATATGGTTTCCAAAACTATTACTATGTTCTATTTGATTGCGGATTTGTGTTTTATGCAGATCCTTGTGGCCACGATTGCTTTTCTTTTACCAAGTGCAGAGTACTCGTCAGTGGAAACAGATAAGAAGGTAGGTGGCACAATGGCTAAATTTTCCCTAGAGTTTGCTTTTTTTAAAAATGTAAGACAGAATGATAAATAATATTACATGTTTTATGTCTATAATATCCTTCTCTATTGGCCCTCTTGTGAAAACCTCATTCATTCATTCATCCCTTTTGCATTTGTGTGTCTATTGAATAATTATGTTATGCAGGGACAGTTCTGTTGTTTGTTATTACCTGTAGTGAAGTTTGAAAGACTGCAGCAGTGAAGTTTGAAAGACTGCAGCATAAGATAGTGGGCCTGTTTCCTCTTCCAGTTTATTGTGTCTTTGCTACTCTGCCTCTTGGACTGGTGCATGGCGTTGCCGGTGAATGCCCTTCTCCACCCGGTGTCCACGGCAGTACTGGACGAGCAGCCCTCATCCAGAGCCCCCTTGCTGGATTATATCTACAGGGTGAGTCCCCAACTGGGCCACAGGGGTGTGAAGTGTGGACTTAGCATCAGAGAATTACCAATGTTTCATGCATTTACTTATATAAATGTGTTCTTTTGCAAAGGATTTGGGTGGGGGATGGTGAAAGAAACCGAAAATTTAAGGAGTGAAAACAGAACAGATATAATTGTAGAGAAGCAATGATTACCAAGTGAAAGATGCACACATTTTTACATGGCTGTCATCTTTAAACAACTGCAGTAAGAATCCCCCAATTTTCATGGAACATTGCCTATATCTGCTTAATTTAAAAAAGAACTGTTTATATTGTAGGAATACCCACAGCCTTCATTTGACAAAATCTGTTTTTCAAAGGAAGAAAAAAGATAATGGTTTTTGTAATCTCTTTGCTTTAAAAGATATTAATGAAATATATCACATCAAAATAATTAGCCTCATAATTTTTATAGTACTCAAAATATTTGAATTTCACCCCCTGCTGATGACTAGATGTAGTGTTTGCTCTGGATAGGATGCTTTATACTATCCTTCTACATAGGCCTTGCAGTCTATCCTTATTTATTTATTTGCTTGTTTATTTATTTAGCATTTGTGTGTCCATTGAATAATTACTATTATGTAGGGACAATTCTGTTTTTTATTTTTATTTGTTTTTAGTAACAAACCTTTAATAATATTTAGTTAAAAGATTCCAACTTATTAACTGATTACTTTGTTGTCTTATTTTAAAATATATTAAATTAAAAAAAACACTTAATCATGGTTAAAATTCTGCTAAAAAGTAATGTGGATTTTTAAATGGCTTCTTCAGTGGTCAAAGATTTTAATAACAATGTTAGGATTAATTAATTACTTTTGTCATCCTTGTGGTTTATAAGCCTATATTATATAAAGCTTGGCTTGTCCAATTAAGTAGACACAATCATTTAAATTTATCTCATTTCTAACATTTCTTTTCTTAAAAGATTTTTCTTAAAATTGCTTTACCAATATAAAAGTCATCTCATAGTTAATATGATTTGCAAATTTATTGAATAACTCCTTATTGTACTTCTAAAGGAAACTTTCTATTGACGTTTAAGTGCATCCAGAAGATTGCATGAGTCATAAGTGAGAGCTTGATGAATTTTCACAAAGTGAGCACACCTGTGAAACCAGATCCCAGCTCTAGAAACAGAATATTCCTAGCATCCCAGAAGCCCCCACTGTGCCTCCTCCTAGTCCCTACCCCTACACACATATCAGGGATAACCACTATCCTGTTACAGCATAGATTAGTTCTGTCTATTTTAGAACTTTATATAGATGAACGCATACAATTTGTCCTAGTTACAGATTTTTCACTCTAATTGCTGTTCAGTATTACCCAATGAGAATAAACCATGATTTATTTATCTATTCTCTTGATGGAAATTTAGGTAGTTTAGAGTTTGGAACCATAAAAAGAAAGCTCTGTGAACATTCTATTCTAGTATGTTTTTTGGTACACATATGTATGCATTTCTGTCGGGTGTATACCTACGAATGGAGTTGCTGGAATGCATATGTTCAACTTTTCCAGAATGGTTGTGCCAATTTACACTGTCACCAACAGTGTCTGACAGTTGGCAGCTGCTCCATAGTCTTGCTAACACTTGCTATCTGGTAGGTATGCAGTGGTACTGCATTGTGGTTTTAATTTGCATTTCTTATTTTTATGGCACTTGACTAATAGAAATCAATTCTCTCAATGTCAGAAGCTCAATTTTTATATTAATGAGAAAGCTACCATAATTTTCCTATACTGCTTTTCTGCTAGGAAGAGGACATATTCAGGTGGCTGTCCTCTGCTGACTATACAGTTCTTGGTACTTTTTACCTGTATACAAAGGTTTTATACCTCTAAATCCTTCTCCAGTCCCCAAGAGGCCAACAGTAGAAGGGACTAAACAGGGAGATGTCCAGCCTGACCACACGTCCTGCTGCCATGTCAACAAATCCAAGCTAATCATCTAAAAGTGAATTGACTTTTTATAAGTATATTGATCCCAAAGACATCACCTTAGTTTCTGAAGTATTACCTTGATTTTCATAAAAGTTAATATTTTTAATTCATTATCTTGAATTTATGATCAAAAAGTAAAATTTAGTACAGTTATTATTAGCTCATTTATACATTTTGGCATGCGTAAGATGATTTGCTTTTGCATGGCTTACAGCGCTTCAGTCATCAACAATTGGTAAATAACCAGTAAGCTTTTAGGATACTGATCTTGTGAAAATAAGAATACTTTAAAAATTTGTGTTAAATTTACTTTATTAATCATACTTTAAAAAATTGTTTTAAATTAGCCCTTCCAATTCTTCGGGTTGTGAGTTATACTAATTCAAGTTCATGTACGGTTTATGAAGTAGCCTAACAGTCTGTACTTACTGCTTTCATTCTACCCGCCACCATGGGTTGTGGTTGTTCATCTTGTGGTTTATCCCACAGCTAGTCTTCATCTCCTGATTTAGTTTCTTCTACTTGTGTTGCCCCTGGTGGACTGATAAAGCAGGACTTAGGTGTGTGCAACCACACAGAATGGCAAAATATAGGCACTCTTTTGCTTTTGCTTTTCTTTTGCCTTGAGAATATATTTATTGGCATTGATGTGAAAGGAGCATAATAAACTTGCTGATAGCAAGAATATTTTTTAGAATGAAAGGGATTCGATGTTTCCTAGTATTACCAAGCAGGAGTCCTACCTCCTAAGTGCTGTTGTAGTTTGACAAATGGTCAGGGGACAGGTTAGTGATATCCATGGCACACATTCCCTTCTGTTTTTCACAGGTTCTGCACTGCTGTGTTTGTGGCTCAAACACATATACCCAACAGAGTCACTACACATTGACCCTGGCTGACCTTTCATCCTCAGATTACGACCCTTTCCTGCTACTGGCAAATGTGAAGAATTCTGAGCCAGTCCAGTATCATTCATCAGTAGAACTGGGCAACCTGCTTACTGTTGAAGAGGGTGAGATTCTTTAGAATATTAATTCTTATGGGCAGGAAAAGGAAAGATTATAGCCTTTTATTCATGCTTGCTGTGTTATTTTTTTTTTTAACTTAACTGTTAAAATCCTGGTTTCTAGAGTCCTCTGTGATAGCAAATTCCGCCTTCCTTGTTTCTTCTCTTTTTGTCTGTTTCTTCTCCTTCCCTTTCTTTTCCCACCTTAGTTGAATTTTGTATCATTTAGGACTCATGGGACCCACAAAAAACAGTTCATTTTCTATCCCCAAGGAGCTTTACATCTAATGGGAGAGACAGGATTAATACAGAAGGACCCATTTGTGGACCAGCAGCGCCATAGGGGCTTCTCATGGAGAAGGACTTAAGCCAGATTTAGAAGGATGGACAGACTTTGAAAGGAGCTGGTACAGTGTTCCAGACTAAGAGAGCATCATGAAGAGAGAGATGGGAATTTGCATGCCGCAGTTTGAGGATTGCTGCGCTCACAGCAGAGGGGCCATTTTAGAGTGTGTGGGTATCCTCAGGACTTAAGGGCTGCTGTATGTCCTCAACCACCCTTCTCTCCAAAATAATAAGAACCTATCCCTGGAATGTGAGTCATCTATACATACATCTGATAAAATTGCATAGAAACAAACACACACAAATGAGTGCATGTAAAACTCGTGAACTCTGAATACTGATGAATTGTTTCAATGTCAGTTTCCTGATGGTGATGTGGTACTATGGCCATGTAAGATGTTACCATTGGGGTGAAGGATATTTGGGATCTCTCTGTATTGTTTCTTACAAGTGCATGTAAGTCTTTAATTGTCTCAAAATTAAAAGTTTAATAAAAATGTGGGTGTGGAGGCCTGAGAATGGAACCCTGGGGGTAAAAGCATCCTTGAAAAAAAAGGAACCAGGGAATGTAACCAGAAAAGCAAATGGGAAAAGAACCAAGAAAGAATCATTTCTAGAAAGTCAAAGGAAGAGGACAAATAAGGAGCCAAGGAAGGTCAGCAGTGGTAGGTGCTTCAGAAAGCCCAGGCGAGGTGAGAGCAGAACAGGAGTCATTTTATTTCCTAGCTGAATGTTTGGTGGTGGGTTCTGCTGCATACTTTGGGCAGAGTAATTGGTCTGTAGCCAGATAGCGTGAGCAGGTGACCTGGGGAATGATCAGTCAGAACTCCGAGACAGATGCTTCTTATGGAGCTTTTGGTGGGGAGAGGAAGGGCACAGCAGGCTTTAGCTGGGTGAGGGCCTGCGGACTGGGGCTGTGCTTGTGAGATTGCAGAGTCCAGAGTGTGGTTCAGGCGAGAGGATGGGGGCAGGTGCGGTGTGGATGAAGAGGGCAGGAGTTGGGGCACCAGTCAGGAACAAAGGCTCTAACATCATCCAGTCCTTATTTTAGCTCCATTTTATAGATGAGCAAACTGAGGTGAAGGGTCCATAAGTCAGAAGTTATGGAGGTGGAATTTCAATTTAAAATTTAATGACCAAGTTTCTGAAACATCATATTATTTACTCGGATATTTTGCAAGAGTACAGTAGACTCATTTTGACTTGTGTTGCTGGTGGATAGTATGTGGTCCATTTACATGTCTTTTTGCTGCCCGTTATTTGCTTACTCAATTAGTTGTCTTTTTCTGGAGTTTGCTGTTCTTTTAAAGTGTAATCTTTTTTTTTTTTTTTGCTTTTTCCTGACAGTTGTAAATTCAAACTGTATTTTTTTTAATAAAATGACCTTGATCCATTTCCTTTATTGTTTCATACCTTGTAGTCCATGTCTCATAAGAAAATTAACTTACTTTTTCCTAAAGTCATTAATTTACATTCACCCCACATGGCGCTCCCAAAAATAGGTTCACCACTGTTATGACTCATCACTTGAAAATGGCAGAAAATGTATAGGTTAGTGAAAAAGGAGAAACCTAAAAATGCACATTTAAATATTGGAACCACTTTTCTTTTTATGTACAACACTGACTTGAATATTCATTCTCAAGAAAAACTCAGGATGTTATGCAAACTTGTCCTGACATAGTTCTGTGATACTAAAAATAATTGTTTAAACTTCCATGACAAAGGGGTTTCAATATTCACTAAAATTTTAACTGAATAAAAAAGCAAAGAAGCTTAGAAACATGTTGGCACACACACTCTTGCTGAGTGACTACATTTTTTTAAGAGTAATGCGGAAAGATAAAGATGATAACTTAGGTATTTTAGGTTAAACAAAATGTTCTCATATTTGAGAGTTTTTTGTTTTCACTTAATGTCATAATTTATCATTCATAACCAAACTATTTCTACTCAGATAATGTTTCTGATAAGCAGTATTTTATCTATTATTTTCAAATGATTTTTTTATAGACCATTACCAATTAGTTGATATAAATACTACTTTCAAATAGAGTTGCAATTAAGAAGCACATTCAACTACCTACTGAGGTAACTGCTGACCCAGCTCAAAGAAAAGCCAGTAATAGCACATACAATAGCACGTGCTCAAATTTTTCATCATTAATACCTAAATGCTTAAAAGGAAAGGAGGGGAAAAGCTTTAAAAAAAAAAAATTTAAAGGAAAATCTAAAATTACTACTTTTATATTTCATCTATAAACTTAGAAAAATAAATATTTAGAATATATTTTTTCATAGTTTGTGGAAGTCATGAGCTTATTTTTTTCATTAATGGAGCCTAGATTTCCTCTTTATTTTTCAGGGTACCCCCAGGCAGCTGATTCAGCCAAAGTCTGCCAGGGAAGAGCAATTCACATTTTATAAATATCCCCTTTCCTTACTTTTCAGTACCAAAGATATTTTGGGTTTTAATTGGGTATGTCATGGTGACTTGGTTAGTATGCTCCAGGTTAAGCTCCCATTGTAGAACTAAAACGTGTTTATTAAAATACAAATTTATATTTATCACAAATTGAAAGCACAACCTATGTAAGTAAAATGAGAGGAAAGTTGCTTTTCCAGTTGATATTTTCTGCCTTGAGCTTTATGGTTAATTTCATAGCCTGCTCTACCACTCTACCATGTCATCACCACGCAGTGTCTTACATTATGACTCCTGAGCTCCCAGCTGGCTCTACCTTTGTTGTTTGGGGCACTAACATTTCTGATGGAGTGTATATTTATATGGAATGATAAGCATGAATAAAAAGCGTTTAACTTTTGTAAAAGTTAATATGGACACAAAAGCACATCAAGGGAATTAGTTGAGGCGTTTTAAATTTCTCAGCTGTATGAAAATCATACATACCTCTGTGAAGGGTGGGAAGAAGAGTTTAATTTCAGAGACACATTATAGATGACCTTCTAAAAATGAGGCTTAATATGAAATTTTTATTTTTCATTGTTGAATACAGATAATTTATTGTTCATTGAAAAGAAAAAATTAAGAAATCTAAGAAAAGTCAGGACAAGCTTGTTCTCCTCAGTCATCACACAGAATTTCTTAGATTCTAGGATTTGTTTCTTTCTAGAATTTATACATCATAAAGTTGATGTTTTATGAATAAGCCAATTGAATTTTTAATGTCTGAAAGGGAGGTTCTTTAGCATGAAAAATTAATTTTCTTGTGAATTTAGAAAACAAGTATTTCCTAAACATTTAAGCCCAAATTATAAACCTTAGTTTATTTAAATATATAGTGATTTTTTTTTGTTAAAATGAGAAGGTTTCATTTTAACGTATTCCTAGATTAATGCACAACTTTTTTTATAAATACGGTAGGTTAAAATCTCCCTAACTACTCAAGCTTAAGTAGTCATTTCAATCTATACTTACAGATTTAGTTTATCTGCTTCGCTCTTGTACTGCAAACATTTTACAAGGCCCATTTTTAGATGCTATTTTCAAAGTCTGTACATTGAAGTCTTAAAAATTTTGTAAATCAGTTGCTCTTCGGCATTTAATCAACTACAAATTTAGTTAATGCCTTCTAAGTATTTCCATGAATTATTAATATATCAGATTCTGTTAAATATTTAAAATGACTTAACAACAAAACGTAAATTTTTACAGTGATCTTAAAGCAGATAACTTAAAATACGTTTAAGCCATCATAGGTGGGATTCATTTCCTTATTGATGTATATACCTTTACCCCACTGAGGGGAGCAAGGTAACCTCTCTGGCCCACTTTCTACCTGCCCCCAGCTTCTAGCTCCCAACCGTTCAGCTCTGCCATCCTCACCAACTGTAGATTTTGACCTTCTAGAGCTGCAAAACCACCACCTTTTTAAGGACAGCGACAGCGACCTTTCTCTTGTCTGTTGCTCTATCTACATATTTTTAAATGTCCCTTTCAGAGTGAACTCTTCATGTAAGTTGGTTCTTTTAGCAGTCTATTTAAATTGTGCTTTTAAATTCACATAGACTTAGTGTCAAAAAGAAGATAGGTGGAAAGTTTCCCTGACTGAAAAAAATCAAACATTCTAAGCACAGATTGAAATTGATGACGTTCAGTCTTAATCTTTATTCTTCACTGTCTCTTTGTTTCTTTACTGCTGTTCACAGAGAGGAAGAGACGAAGTTTGGAGCTGATCCCTCTGACTGCCCGAATGGTGATGGCCCACCTGGTGAATCACCTGGGACACTTCCCCCTCTGTGGGGGCCCTGCTGTGCTGCACAGCCTGGTCAGTGAGAACCATGACAACATCCATGCGGAAGCCTCCGAGCTCTCCTCCGAGGTGTTCAGGAGCCCAAATCTGCAGCTGTTTGTATTCAATGACAGCACCCTCATCTCCTACCTTCAGATACCCACAGAAGGACCAGTAGGCGGCTCATCAGTGGACACCCTCTCTGATGTGAGAGTAATTGTGAGGGATATCTCAGGGAAGTACTCTTGGGATGGGAAAGTTTTATATGGACCTTTGGAAGTCTGCTTAGCACCCAATAGCAGAAATCCTTCATTTCTGATTTCGGGCTGGCATCATCAAACATTTGGACCACAGAGAGAGTTTTCTCAAATTGAGGAGGCAGATGATGTCCTCGACAAATTACTTGAAAACATTGGCCACACAAGTCCTGAATGCCTTTTACCATCACAGCTAAATCTAAATGAGCCTTCCCCACCCCCATGTGGAATGAACTGTGACCAAGAAAAGGAAATCATCGAGGTCATTTTGCGCCAGAACGCACAAGAAGACAAGTATGTTCAGAGGAGTAACTCTGATTCGGCCAGGAGAGTCACCAGCCAAGAGCAACCCTCACCAGTGGAGCCCCGAGGACCCTTTTATTTCTGCAGGTTGTTGCTTGATGACTTGGGAATGAATTCTTGGGACAGAAGGTAACAATCCACTCCAGACCTTCAACTATTTTGCCGTTACTTTTGTGTGATTGTTCTGTTTTTATCATTTTAGGGTTGAGGAAGTAAAGAATAGAAATGAGTATTTTTCTCTATTTCAGCATTTACAGCTTATTTTTTGCTGCTAAATTAAAGCTAGAAACTGTGCTGTACTGATTGCACAGATTGATTCCAAACATCTGTTATATATTTTAAAGGGTATCAAACATTTTCCATATGTTTTAATTACTGCTCTGCCCATTATTGTTTCTACCTTGGAAAGATCCAATTGGCCTACAAAGATGAATTAGCCAGTTTCACTTAGCTCTGGTGAGGGAGGTAGATTTGATACATACAACTCTGATGAAAGATAGTATGACACAGGAGTTTGAGAGGAACAGTTAAATCCAGTGGGAAGTGTGGTTCAGTGGAGAAGACTTCATGGAAGGGGGTGGATTTGAGCTGGACCCTGACAGTGGAGTGGAGTTTTTAAGGACAGAGATGGGGAAAAGAGATTGTTAGCAGAGCCAACAGTGAAAACAGAGACATAGGCACCTGTACACAAGTCACACATTCATTTACCACGGAGCCATCCAGTGTCACTGGATAGTAATATGATGCAGTAGAAGGTTGATACCTTTGAATGCCTTAAGGAGAGTGGAGTTTATTCTGTGGGCTTCGGTTGCAGATCTTTTGCAGAGGTAGGCAATGGTTGGGTAGATGGGTGGTTGGATGAATAATAGGTAAGTCTGTCAATTGATGGACTGGAAAGGGCAAAATTGTTCTGTGATCACATGACTTTTCTTCCATCCCTTTTTCTTTATAGGAAGAATTTCCATCTGTTGAAGAAAAATTCAAAATTATTGAGAGAACTAAAAAATCTAGACTCCCGTCAGTGGTACGTGAAAGTGTATCAAACCACTTCATTCCTGTCCATCTTCATGTGTGCGTATATGACAAATACAGCTGCAGGAATGACTATACCTGCAGAGACACCCAAGGGTAGTTTTGTAACATAGAATCTGGTGACATTGCACATACCATCATTTTGGTATTTTTACCCCTGAGAAATAAATTTACATGCTTGCTACACTAAAAGGTTAGTGCTCCCACCTAGTCTGTGCCTTTGAGTGAGGACCTTTCATGTGGCAGCCAGTGGACATCCATTTGCATTTCATCTCTGCAGCCATCTCTTTTTCCAATGAGGAACAGAGCCTTACCTGCCGATGATTGCACAGTCTGTGTTGTTTGAAGCAACTGAGTCTGACTTCTTAACCTGTGCTGTGTGCCGATGCACTGCCATTCTGTGGTTTCTGCTCTCAGGGTGTTGTAATTAGTAACTTTTTTTTTTTTCCTTTAAGATTTTTATTGGGAATTTGGGGGAGGGGAACAGCATTGGGGAATCAGGGAAGGGGAACAGACAAGTTGCTGTCGTTTAGTTCTTCAGTCTAATTGTGGAGAACGTCGCTTCACTGGCCCATGTAGGTATTATCACTACGCTCTTCCCGGGTGAGACAGTCACTCTCCAGCCATTGGACGGCCGCTCATGGCAGCTCACAAAAGCTCACCCTGGCTGCCAGCCACTCTCAGTAGCTCACGGCAGCCCCCTGCAGCAGGGGCTGCAGCCTACGCCGTTGTTGGCGACTCATGGCAGCCCAGCTCCAGGTTGAGCTGTTGTTCATCATCTTAGCTGTAGAGGGCGCAGTGTCACTGGCCCTCATGTGGGATCCGAACAGGGGCCCTACTGCTCAGATCTGGCGCTCCCAAGCCAACTCTTAACCAACACTCCACTCAGCCGGCCCAGTAACTTCTTAATAGTAAGCCTTTCTGCAAAGCTTAGATCTACCCCTTTTTTATACAATCTTAGAAGCAATTCTAAAGATGAGCTCACAACTAGTTTTTGATTTAGGGAAATGTATGCTTCCAAAAACATCTCGGTGAAGTTAAGTGTAGTACTTGATACATAACAAGTGTTCAAAGGTCTTGAACAAACTGCTTCCTTAATCTTTAGTTTTTAAAAAACTCATTAAAAAAAACTAGCTTCTGTTCCCTGTTCATTCTCCTTAGGAATATCATTAGATCTCTCAGAGATGAAAAACCCGAAGCCATTCTTCCTCACCTTGCCCTTCATCATATTCAGTTTCCCAGTGGTTGTTGTGCTTCTTTTTCTCTAGAGGAATAGAGATCGAATTCTCTTGGAAAAATCTGTGAGGCATTTCTTCTGAAGGACTCGGGGATTTGCTTTCCTCTCCCACTTGTCCAACAATATATATATATATATTTTTTTAAGATTTTTATTGGGGAATTGGGGGATGGAAACAGCGCTGGGGAATTGGAGGAAGGGGACCAGACAAGTTGCTGTCCTTTTGTTCTTCAGACTAGTTGTGGAGGACGTTGCTTCACTGGCCCATGTTGGCACCATCATTGCGCTCTTCCCAGGCGAGGCAGATCAGTCGCCGGTTTCTGGACAGCCGCTCACTGCGGCTGCTGGCCGCTCACGCTGGCTGCTGGCCACACACGGTAGCCCATGGCAACCCACTGCAGCAGGGGCCGCAGCCTACGCCGTCGCCAGCGACTCACAGCAGCCCAGCTCCAGGTTGAGCTGTTGTTCAGCATCTTAGCTGTGGAGGGCAGTGTCACTGGCCCTTATATGTGGGATCCGAACCAGGGCCCTCTGGCGTCCCAAGCCAGCTCTTAACCAAAGCGCCACTCGGCCGGCCCTTGTCCAACAATATTAAACAAGCAGTCACTTGGGTTCCAAACTCAGCTTTTCACGCATGTGCTGAATTATTCTGTGCTTCCTAGTATTAAGTGAATACATTGGTATCTTGTAATTGTGGCCAATTTGTTGAGTGTTAATGCACGTTAGTTGCATGAGGTACAATTGAATTAGCTCCCTGGGGTGCTGTTGCAGTAAAATATGGCTTTGGAGAGCTGATTGGCAAATCCTCTGCCCCTTGATTAACTTCACTTAAAATCCCAACTCCTGGACTTAGTGCCGTCTTGACATCTAAAAAGGTTATCAACTAATTTTATGGTAAAGGATGTTTTCAAGGTTTTGTTTTGTTTTTTTTTTTAAAAAAGGAAATAAATCAGGGACTCTTTAACTATGAGAAATCTAGATTGTCTTGTGTATTGGTCAGTTAACAGATAACATAACTTGCCCTTCAATTTTCAATTGGGATATTTCTATTTGTTTCTGATATCAATTTATCTTCCTGCCGTCAAGGCATAGTTCCTGCTTAACATGTTCTTAGGAAAAGTAAAGGCTATCTTGCAACTATTATATCATCTGTATACTGGGAAGCTGGCAAAGATGTAAATGATGTGCCGACACTACAGACAGATTACAGTGAGCTCCCCTTTTAAATATTAATGCCTCTTGCCACCGCATGGTAAGGTGAAAGTTAAAATCATGTTTCTTCTTCGTTTGGCTTTTAAATGTGACAGCACAAGGAAACGAAGCTATTCTGGTCTATTCCTAATAAGAAAGAAAAAAAGCATTCTAATCAGAAAGAGGAAATGGTTGGTTTTATGTATGTGTGTTCCTGAATTACCTGCTCCTTCATGCAGTTGCCATGCAGCTTATGGATATGAAGTGCTGTTGATGTTGCTAATTATCATTTCAAAAGCCTGGCTCTAATAAGGCCAGACAGAGCCTCTGCACCCTAGCAGGCTCTCTGTGGTGCTAACATTTTGGAGGATGTGAAATTTGATGAATGTTTACAGCTATAAGTCACCTTTCCTCACACGTACATCAGTCAGGCAGTCATTGGGACTTAGCTTTCTTGTGCTCCCACATTGAATTAATGAGGACTCAAGGATCTGTGAGCAGCTGCAATGTAAAAAGCTTGGATTTTAAGGAGAATGAACGAAAACATTTCAGATAAACCTGAGATTGTTTTTATGTATATGAAGTATATATAATAGGAAATTAAGTGCTGAGGACTTTTAAATATATAGAGAGAGCTGCTGAAAGAAGTGGAGTAACTATATTGTTTTTCTTCTTTTGTTGAAAGAGACAGTCTTTTAGGTTCTAGATTATGATCTTTATTATCATCTGTGCTCCCAAATTATTATAGCCCTTAGACTAATCCAGTCAGATTCTAGGCTGCCGATGTACCCTGCCTGTTGCTCAGGAGGTAAATGGTGTTGCATTTCGGGGCATTCAGAGAGCTTGACCTCATACTGCATGAGGACAAGCTCTCTGACCGTTCGGGAGCACAGGGTCTCTACTAGAGAATTGGGCCCCTGGGATCCATCCCACAAAACCTGCTTCTCCTCCCAATACCTGTTCTCATCAAGAGAGGCGCCCTCAAGAGTGTGCTCGTGCTACACCAGTCCAGGCGTTCAGGTTGTCCACTTTCTCCAGTAACAGCAGGACAGTACACATCAAAAGTCTTAAAAATGGACAATGATCAATTCCATTTCTATGAATTTGTTTTAAGGATATATCAAAGATAATGTGAAAGTCTTTAAAAATGGAAGCAACCTAAAAATGTCTTATAACGAGGATTTGGGATATAGTATGTTAATATAATGGAATGTCATATAACCATTAACAGCTTAGTTACAGAAACACATGATATTAAATTGTTCACACTAAAAAATGGTTGAAATGGAGAATTTTACGTTCTGTGTTTTATACAATAAAGTGTTGGTAAATATTTTAAGTGGAAAAGTCAGTTGCAAAAAATAATATAGTAGCTTCTCATTTTGTATGTAAAAATGCATCCTAAAATGGTTAACAGTTATGTTATTTGCTTATATATTGTAATTAATGGGTTTTTTATTCTTCTCTTTCCTTTTTATATTTTCTAATTTTTCTTGTATGTTTACTATATGTAAACCATGGGGGGACATGAATAGCTATGTAGATGAATAGAAAGAGAGTACTGTCCTCCTTCATTTATTTATGTGACTTTTTAGTTGAGTTTCAATTTATTCTGCTTATTAGGAGAAAAACAACTGCAGAAGGAAATATTTGATAATATGTTAAAATATGGAGCCAAGATTCCACCAATATGGACGTCTAATCAGATTATAATGTTGAGATATTAAACAATTAAACAATAGAAACATTTTTATATTGTTTAAGCACTTGATAGTTTTTCCTATGAGATTTTCCAAATCATATGCAAAAATTAGGAGAAGAAAGGAGCTACACTGGAAGTGGTAATCCTAAATTTTAGAAAATAGAAACTGTAGTAAAATTCTTAGATTATAGGGCTATCTAATGATCTAAGCTATCATCAGATTGCTTAGTATAGGTCCAGTTATTTTGATACTTTACCCCAGGATATAATTCGTAGAAATTGTTCACTGATACATTTAAATATATCATCATATCTCTGGTCAGTTCATCAGAGATTTAACTGGGTACCTACTATATGCCAAGGAGTATGCTAGATGTACAAAAAGTAAAAAGGGAGGGCTTCTTTCTTTAATGTACATATTATGCTTACTTGATTTAATAGCAAAGTGCCCAAAATCCATCATGGAGAAAGTGGTTGAGAGTGTATATTGCCAAGATGTTTCCCTAGACAGCTATCCACCCTACCAGACACCCTCATATTAGTCAGAGCACAGAGTGGGTCCACCCCTTCACAGAGAAGGTATCTAAGTGTGTTCTGCTTGGAAGAAGTTTCTGTTTCTCATAAATTTTTGGTGTGTTTTAACAGTTCTAATCATGGAACTACCCAATATCCTTAGCTCATCAAAGTGTAGAAAATGAAATATGGGTGGTCATATGGATATATTCATAATTGATATCTATTTGAAATGCTTTCAAAAATATTTTTTTACCAAAAACGGAGTGAACTTGTCAAACTGTGCTGTAACATGCTAAGGATATGATATGTCTGTAAGAGTGACCCCAAGAACCAGACTGCCCCACTTCAATTCCCGGTCTCCTGCTTCTATGTGTGCTTTTAAAAAACTTTCTGTGCCTCCTTTCAACCAGCTTCACAAGGACGGCAGTGATGATAATCGTTGTCTCGTTAATGTATTTGCAAAGAATAAATGAGATATGTGTGGAATCTTCTTAGAGCAGTGATACCTCTAGTAAGTTCTCAGTAAATATAAGCTCTGTAGTAGGAGTCATGCTGGTTATAGTAGTAAAATAAAATTTTATATATAAACATTCTCACTCCTTTAAATTTAAAATTTTATAGCCGTGAAACACACAAAATCGCAGTGTTTTACATTGCTGAAGGTCAAGAAGACAAGTGTTCGATCCTCTCCAATGAAAGAGGAAGCCAAGCATATGAAGACTTTGTTGCTGGACTTGGATGGGAGGTAATTCATTTCATTCAGTAGGTGTTTGTTGACCCGCATTATTTAAAGATGTATATAAACTAAACATTTTACTGGGTTGTTGGAAAAGTCATGACGTATTTTTTCTATGTTTTTTTTTGTTGTAAAAATGCATCGTGACTTTTCCGACAACCCAGTATATGTTTTCACATTCAAGCATAGCATGGGTAGAGTTCTGGAGTTGAAAAATGTACTGAATTTGACATCTTCTATTAGTTGCTTCTCAATACTTTATACATGAACTTTGGTTTCCCCTTAACTTTCCTCTGAATACGATTTCATTTGCTTTTTTTTTTTTAATTGGGGAATTGGGGGGATGGGACAGTCCTGGGCAATTGGGGGAAAGAGAACAGACAAGTTGCTGTCGTTTTGTTCTTCAGTCTAGTTGTGGAGGACGTTGCTTCACTGGCCCAAGCTGGCCCATCATTTCACTCTTCCTGGGTGAGGCACATCAGTCACCGGCCTCTGAATTGCCGCTCACTGCGGCTGCTGGCCGCTCACGCTGGCTGCTGGCCACACACGGTAGCCCATGGCAACCCACTGCCACAGGGGCTGCAGCCTACGCCG